CTTTATCTAACCTGAACTAACACTAACTCCGGAAAAAAATTAATCTATAGACTGGACAAAAGCTGATAGCTGTTGCTAAGAAGACGGCCCGTTGGAGTTACTTTCTAATTGAACGGGGTGAGAGGAGACAAGACCTAAATCTATTTTGCACTTGTAGGCAGTGGGGCAGGGAAGTGAGGGGTGAGACGAGGCAGAAAAGAAACAGGAGCTCCTCATGGTCTGATCAGGTCATATTATCCCTTCTGAATAATTTATCCACCAGCATTTTTCCCCCACTATGAATCATTTATTGGTGAGGGGGGGAATTTCACCCGTTGCTCCCCGGTTGCTAATTATTCATGCAGCTCTAAGTATGTTGGATCCAACCAACAAGATGCTCCAGAGCAGTTACCACTTCCAACCACTGGGAAGCCGCTATAATATTCAAGCCAAAGGTAACTGGCTCCTGGCTACAGTGTTTGAGCTTTCTTCTGGGGAAAAAAAAACACAATAGGATTGAGTAGGGTATCTGTGTATCCAGAGGGGCCTCCCCTTGGCTAAAATGGGTTTCCTCCCCCTGGACTCACATGAGGATTGTATGGAAAAAACCTCAGGAGTCGGATCCGGTAAAGCCGGGGCTGGCATTTTACTTTTTAATCGGGCCTTTTACCATAGAGCTTACCATCATAGCTTTGCATGCTTTATGTTTACATTTTTGTAATCAAACAAGATTATCTGGTAACACCCCTTCTCAACAACTGAAATATGACAGTTGGTCCCAATGTCCTTGTTCTACTAGCTGCTCTCAGGTATACTCAAAGCTGCCAATAACTGGGAAACGGGTCCCATGCAGATGCCATTCTGATTCACAAAATTTAATCCACTGAAACTCGTACAAGGCTGGGACCCCCTTGTGTTTACTAAAATGATGAAGGATACATCCTAGAGAGGTGTCTTCGAATTTTCCAGAATGGATTGTTTCATGCCCACCATAATAACCATGAGTCAAAATATTTTTTTTAATATCACCAAAACAGAGGGTTAGCCACCAGCCTTAAAACAGGACAAAGCTGGGCGCAGGTCTCTAGACAATTTGTATACGTAATTGATCATTCATTCATAGAAATCATCCCAATTTTTTGCTTTGATGATAATTATGTTTTACACCAATTGTCTGCTTTGTGCAAAAAAAACCCCCACACATATTTATGCAAAATTATTGGGGGGGAATGACATAATATATGGACAATGATCCTACACAGCAATGTTCCATTGGCATTCCTGTAGAGGGGGAATAAGACTTGCAACATTCTTCTCTTGGATCATAAGGATGATGAAGCACCATTTGTTTCTTCCAGTGAAACTTTTTCCTTTGATGATAATTATGTTTTACACCAATTGTCTGCTTTGTGCAAAAAAACCCCCACACATATTTATGCAAAATTATTGGGGGGGATGACATAATACATGGACAATGATCCTACACAGCAATGTTCCCAGAGGTGTAGTGGCTTTATTTCTCAGCTGTGAGGCACTTCCTGAGCCATGGATTCATTTTAAAAGAAAAAGGGAAATTAAGATGCCAAGCACTGGACTGTGCCAGGTATGGGGCAAAATCAGTTTGTCTGCTGATTAACAAAATGACCCTCAAATGAATCTCCCAAATCTTATGGCCTGTCCCAAGAATGTATCTCTTCGCCTTTGTTCCAGTTCAAAAGTCTAACGAAGGCAATGGAGAGGATTTTGTATAGTCCTGATGCCTGTCATTTAGACGAGTTGGAGAGTTCATCATTATTTTTCTTGGCACAGATTTTATATTGCCTGCGTGTGGAGAGTTTCAACTTAATTTTAAGTGCAGCAACCAGAAGAAGTCTTCCTTATTTGGAGGTTTAAGAAGAGAAGCGAACCACTTAACCTATTCCATATGATCATCAGCTTCAGCTCAAGAATACAATCCATCCCCAGCTATCTCAATGAGATCAAATGTTCTCTTCCACTTGATCTTCCTCAAAAAGGGGACATGCTCCGGGCAACCTCCTCCTGGTTTGGAAACTCTGAGATGCTCCTCTCAAAAACACTTGAGTACTCCCTTCTTTTCTACACAGCCTCCTTGCAACATTCTCCCTCGAAGCATTGTGCCAAAAGCCCTTTATGGCCTGCAATGACTTTGACATACTTACACAATCTGTCTTCTCTCTCTCTCTCTCTTTCTCCTCTGGAAAGTGATAGCCTTGTTCTGTTTGAGTCTCTTCCTCGACAGTACCTGACAGTTCTTTTATTTCGGCACTGTATTTCCCCCCAAAGAAGATCATTCTGCTGTCAAGGCCACTAAGGGGCCACTGAGACGTCGCTTTCCATATTTAGAAGTTTCTCTGTTCCTGCGGAACTTGTACTCTTATCCGAGACAGGAAATATATAACCAACACAGGCTGGATTTTACCCTCCTAGGACTCAAAATATGTTCACAATGTGTACCAGCTAATCCCGGCTGCCCCATCCCATCATATTTTAAGGCAGAAGGTGGTAATCCTAGGGCACAGAATGACACTTTGGAAACATAACGAGAGGACAGGGAAAAGCATCCTCATCTAATTTTCTTAAGCATATGAATAGTATGTCAAGTTTTGCCAGGCATAGCAGTGCTCCAAACAAAGGGTCTAAGGAAAGAGAAGGATGTTAATGGGCAAATCTATGCCTACATCAGTCATGAGAAAGAGAAGGTGGAAATATGTGTGTTCTTGTGTGTTCACATACAATGAAATGTATACATACACTCATGAATACATCCTTCATTAGGCAAATATAACTGTCTTCCGAGCCCTCATTAGACTCCTCGGTTGTTTCAAAGGAAAACTATCAAAGAATGTTTGAATCATTCCTTTCTTTCCTAGAGTCATGCATTGGTTAGATGTTTGGCCATCACAGGTTTGGAAATGGGTTTGTTAAAAACTTTACAATGTCCAGAGGGCTATAACCGAACAGGCTAGGGTCTGCTCTGGATACACTCACAGATTGGTTTGCACCCCCACCCCACCCCAAAATACCCTTTTCATGTACTGTATTTCAGTTCTAAATTTGCCAGTTGTTTTGCAAGCTGTGCTTGTATTCCCTTGAATTAATACAAATCATTTGTTATGATGAGCTATCTAGGTATTGAATATTGATCTGAGGGCAAGAGTTACCAGGGCCTAGATGCGGAGGGAATATTCTATCCCAGAACCTACCAGAATAGAAAACATTATAATAGGTCCACAGATAACCCCTGCAAAGCTCAGGAGATGGAGTAAAGTTCAGATGGAGCAGTTCTACCATTACCTACAAGGTTACAAACAGTCTGTGAGTTAATCTGGAAGTTGAGTCATGGCAACCGGACTTCTTTCTTAGGTTGAAGCATTTCACTATTCATCCAAGTAGCTTCTTCAGTCTGAGGAAAGTTGGTAGGAGACCCCTGATAGATCCTCCACATGGGTTTCACTTCCCCCTGGTCAGAATAGGCTTGTTAGAAGGACAAAGGAATGGGGGTGAGGGATAATCCCACCTCTGCAGTCTTTCTCCACCCATTGTCATAGGTTGTTAATGGTCATTAACACATCCCAGAAAGACCACTGTTAATGAACTCTGTCCTTTAAACGAACCTATTCAGACTAGGGGGAAGTGGTCAGGCATCTCCTACCATCTCTCCTCAGAATGAAGAAGCTACCTGAATGAATAGCGAAACATTTCAACCTAATAAGAAAGAAGTCCAGTAGCTATGACTTAATTTCCAGATTACCTCACCTGGAGAACTGAGAATCTTCACAGGTTGTCAATCAATCAATCAATCAATCAATCAATCAATCAATCAATCAATCAATCAATCAATCAATCAATCAATCAATCGGTCGGTCGGTCGGTCCGTCCATCCGTCCGTCCTTCCGTCCTTCCTTCCTTAACACAACAAGGTGGGTGGACATCCAAGCAGCAGGAAACAGCCCTTGTTAATATATATAATATATCCACATTATATGATGGTATACTGAATGTTGGGTTTTGACCATAATCTTTGGAGACTCACGCATGATGATATCATCATGGTACTACTATAACTGCCATGGGCATTTTTCAGCCTCATTTTTCCAAACGTGGCTGAGTGCTAAAAGCTTTTTGAAGAATCCTTTGCTGGCATGTGGATGCTATTCCCCTTCACTTAGATAAAGCAGAAAGGAGAGAAAAAAACAACCTTTATCCATTTTGTAACCTGTACATTATAGCACAACACCCTACTTGAAACCTTCGGAACCTCTCAACCCCAGAATGTCCCTGAAGCACATTTAGTTGCTAATTTAAACTGCTGACTGACTTGCCCACTTTTATTTACTCAAAGTGGATAACAGTAAAGAAAAACAGAAACAAACAAGTAGAACATCAAATAGCACTACCAAAAAGTGTGTCTCAAAAACATACACCAGACCTTGTGTCATTTTAGACAAGAAACGTAAATTGCTCTTTTTCTCTTTCTCCAACTACCAGTCCAGATCAATGTTATGAAAACATGATGCTATATTTAAATTGAAAAACCACAACTCAGGTATTAAGAAGTCACAGGGATTGCTTAGAAATGGGCCATCAGTGGCACAGCTTGGCTCTTTCAATCAGACGTTACACACAACAGCATGTTATCGGCTATCAAGCTTCTTTGTATATTCTTAATGAGACAGAGAACACCACTCATTTCTAAGCAACAGAGGACAAGGTAGAATCCAAAGATCCAGATCCTCAGCAACATTCACAATTTCCTTAGCACTGTCAACAAAGCATCTAGCCCAAACCAGAGAGAATCACCAACTGAAGTCAGAATTTTGTTCAACTTCCTTAGAACCGTGGTTCCCAGACTTTGGTAATCCAGGTGTTTTCGGATTGCAACTCCCAGAAGTCTTCACCACCCACTGTGCTAGCTATGGTTTCTGGAGACTGAAGTCTAAGAACTCCTGGGTTGGCCAAGGTTGGGAAGCACTGCCTTAGGAGGCCACATCGAGTCTTACCTTGCACGATGAGATGAACCCGTGATGTCTTTGGATGATTGTCTGTTTGTACAGAGCAGGTATAAGGGCCTTCATCATATATGTCCACATTATGTATCCTGATGCTGTACTGCGTTTTGGTGTTTGTCAGGATCACCACTCGGTCATCTATTGACCACTTATCATTCCCGGCATAAAGAATGGTGCTACGGTTCAGCCAAGCCACTCGTGTGACCCTGTCATCCACAGTACACCTAAAAGGGAGGAATAGAAAAGAAAGTGATTTAACCAGGTACTTGTTTAACTGCCCATCATGGTTTCCTAACAGAATCTCCATATTTATTTTATTTATTTCAGCACATTTCTATCTTAGTTTCATAATTAAAATACATAGTGACTAACAATGGAATTCTTAAAATACCACCATAAAGCAAAATCTTCCAAGAAAGGGGGGGGGGAATTGCAATTAAACATATGCAAAGCAATTACAGATATGCTGATGAGAGTGGATGGGTTGGACTATCGCTCCCAAAATTCCTGGATAACAAGGCCACTGGCCATGCTTCCTGGAGAATTCTGGGAATTGTAGTCCTACAAGACAAATCTGTATGCCTCTGAAACTTAGTGGTTCCCAACTTTGGGTCCTCAGATGTTCGTGGACTGCAACTCCCAGAAATCTTGGCCAGGACAACTAGCAGTGAAGGCTTCTGAGAGTTTTAGGCAGTTTTAAAACTATGATGCTTTCATTTTCTTGAGATGAAAACATCATTTCCCTGAGCAGTGCGCTGTTCTAGAGGCGCAATGGTGACATATGTTCCGCTTCCTCTGGAACATAGAGTCATAGGCATCTTAAGAGGCTTAGAGAGACCTTGCCAGTCTCACTCTCAAATGACAAAAATCTTATTCTGATCTTGTACACTCCCCTTTTCTCCCCCACATGACTAACAGAAATCTCCATAAGCTTTGAGGTCTTATAGCGGGACCGACAATCTTCACCAGGAACTAGAGCCAACATCGGCTACGGTCGGTTTTAACAAGCTAGCTTGTCAGAAACAACAGTTTGAAGCTGGCTTGTTTTAAACCAGTCATAGGTAATCTGAACCACAGTTTGCCTGTTCTGGAAGAACAATGGCAGGGAGGAAAAGCAGAAGCAGTGCTTTCGGAACACTTTCTCCATGCTACGTGGGAGGAACCAGAGAGCGTGTGCAACCACACTGATAAAATACAGCATTAGACTTTCAAATAGCAATAACTTATTGTAAACAATCCAGTGTTAGCTAAGAGATGCATCAACTCTTACTGCATGCTAATCATCTGGAAAAGTAAGTAGCTACAGGTACAGTGCCAATTAGCTTATTACCAATATAGTAATAAACATTGCATGCTCTCTACTTTGCTCTCAACTTTGGCATTATAGGTTTTTCAAAGTATGTTAAAACAGTTTGATTACTTTTACAAATCTGCACTCCTTGAGTCACCCACCCATCTAACTGTGACTTCAATATCCACAGCACAGGACACGACACCAACATGTGGTACCAGCACATGACAGCCCTTGGACGATTTGATATTCCTTTATTGCCGTTAAAAGACGACTAACTATGAAACTAATAATTTTTTATCTTTAAAAGTTGTAACTAATAGCTACAATGGCATCACAAGAAGAGCGAAGTTCTTATTCATTAAATTGCAGGCAGAGTATAACACAGCTAAAGGTTCATTGTCGGGTAAAGAAATATTTCAGTGTCTGTTTCTATCGAAGTCGCTCCAAAGTGGTAGCTTAAACATGGTTAGAAATTACGCGATGCCAGTACGGATGAAATGAATACTTGGAAATTGTCTCGGACTTAATGAAAAAAAATGTTATCTGGACATATTGAGACCTAATGTTATTTTAAACAACAACAAAAAAAATCCTGCAAGAGTTTACTCCTTCACAAGAACAAAAAGGTCAGGATTTTTCATCAGCAGTAAAATTAGCAGAAGAAGCAAAAAACAAAAGCTGGATTTTGTGCAAAAAGTGTGCATTTTTGCAAAGAACAAAATAAAACAGACTTTTATTTTATGTAAGTTTTCCCTCTACACTTTTACATGCACAGAAAGGTTTTCAGTGTAAAATACAGAGGTTTTTTTTTACTGTAGAACGCTACTTTTTTTGCTGAAATGTGAAAGATGCACAAGATCTCATAATCATGCCCAGCAGGGAGCAAACTTGTGAAAGCAGGCATTCTTCTCTGGGAGAGAGAAATTAACAAAGACTGACCTCCCAGGCTGCTACCATGTAATTGGCTACATCATGTACAGCAGTCATCTGAATCCACACAGAGCAGGAACGGCAGCAGGCAACTTTATGTTCTGCTATGAACGGCTTGAAAACTGCTGGAAAAGCATTTCAACTATCTATTGCAAGCCAGTTTTTGATCTTACTTTTCCTCCAGCACTTAACATTGGAAAGCCATATTTCAGTGTAGCTAGTTACACTTGGAACAGAACAAAAGCTGCCCCATTCCCATCAAAAAAGAGGAAGAGGGGAAAATTGGAAAGAGAGGGATTCCTATGTAGTACATTGCTATTTTAATTCCACTTCAAAAGAATAGTTTTATTTATTTCCTTGTAAGTTTGGTCACAGTACCCAGAATCTCAGAGTAGCTGTTCCTATTGGCACAGCAGTCTAGAAGGAGTGTATTGGATCAGTTCAACAAGGACATTTGGAAAGACTTAATTTCTTAGGCATTCATATTTCAGAACAGGAAAGTGTACACATATCACTAAATTATTTGCCCTGCTCAATGCACAATGGACGTCTGATGGATTGCCTTATACTGAGTCATGCCATTCGTCCATCTAGCCCAGCTGTGAATGATAAGAGCTCTACAGGGATTGAGGTATGAGTCTCCCCTTGCCCTACCTGGAAATGTCAGTGTCAGCATGGAGGATCAGAACTGGAACCTTCTACATGCAAAGTCTGAGCTTCACCCTCTGCAGACAGCTAGATCAGAGTTACTGTCTGTTAGGTGCAAAGAAAGCCAGCCCAGTGGTCTTCTATCCTTAGCAAGCAGTGAGTAACCCAGCCCCAGCTTTACTGCCCAGCGAGATGAGTACTCAATGTGAAGCGGATAAGGAAATATCCTTGTATTATTATACATGAATGAGAGACCATTCCTATAAGTACATGAGTGCATTGTAACCTGATACAACTGCAGGTCAGATCCAAACATGCAATGCTTTCCCGACTCAGCTATACATGGTTCTCATCTGCTCTGTTCTGCAGCTCCTATTTGGCTCCCAGACCATGCTGTCAATAATTCCAGAGACAATGACTAATTGTGCAAATTATGTTTCAGCCAGCCTCTTTCTCTTCTGGGTTTCATTTACTCACTAACAAGCCCATGGTTAACTGCAACAACCTCAACCAATGGCTTGTGACTGGCTGGCTACAGCATCACACCGGATTGCAACCTTTTCCAATAATAAGTGAATGACTCATTGGACAGGTGTGTCCAGTTCTTTGTTTGGAGGAGGGGGGCTGCTGTGACTGTTCCCATGGATCCAGACCATGGACCTACAACTGTGAACAGTGGAGAGTCCTGAACGACACTGCAGGGTTTGCTTGGAAAAGTCACTTTCTGCACCACAACACCCAGAATCTCCTAACCTTAACTTCCTAAAGGATAATAGGTCTGTTCTGCAACAACTACCTCTGTTGTGTCTTGCAAAGGGTTAAACCTTGGAAGTGGCTACTTTGCACCCTGAACTGGAAAACATAACCCTTGCTTTCACTTTCCAGCCTGGTTTTCCTGTAATAACTCCAGCCAAGCTCCTTACATTTTGCAATTCCTCCTTCATTCCATTGTGTAAAGCTTCTTCCACCTCCTCCCCTTCTTTCTCCAGCTACCCTCTCTTCCTATCCATCTTCATCTTGGCTTTCAATGGTGGCAAATGGATGTTCTAACACTGGAACCCTCCCTTTACTCAAATTAACTATGGGGGAGCTAAGCGCAGCCTAGTTAAGTTGAGCCCTAGGGGGATGGCGGTGTAGTGGACTATTACTCCCGTCTCAGTTCATTATAATGAATAATAAAGAGATACTTACACACATTTTTTGGTAAATTATTCATTGCACGGACTGGGGAAAAATCAGGGCAGTAATATGTAAAACAGACAACTCATGTGTCTGTGTTCATATAAATATCGAGCATAAAGCCCTTGAAGGAACTCGCTCGTCTCCTCATTAAAGATGAAGTACAAGGATCACGGCCTGAAGAGACAATCAGGACTCTTCATGGTGGCTTTGTGCGGCACAAAAACAATTCTGGTGTGGAAATCCCAGCTTTGCGGCGGCCCGTCTTTCTGAGCCTGTGTGTTCGGTATTGATTTATGTACAGAGAGTGTGTGCACTGCAGACAGGACTGTGGCTACTTCAGACAATGTATTTCATACATTTCCAAGCTCTTCATTGCCCACATATTTTCAGCAACATGATTTGGATCCCTGCATTGAGCAGGGGGTTGGACTTGATGGCCTTACAGGCCCCTTCCAACTTCACTATTCTGTGATTCAGAACTGTAAATACACTGGAGAGCCGACAAGGACACCAGCGGAGCAGTAGGGGGTGCTGAGGAGGAGAAAATGAGTGTGGCAGCCCTGGTTGGGTTATTTACAGCAGTGGTCCCCAACCTTGGGCCTCCAGATGTTCTTGGACTACAACTCCCAGAAGCCTTCACCACCACCTCTGCTGGCCAGGATTTCTGGGAGTTGAAGTCTAAGAACAAATGGAAGTCAAAGGTTGGGGACCGCTGATTTAAAGGACTCAGGGACCATAGAGGAGGAAGACCACTGGGCAGACACTGTAGATTGGGAGACGTGACAGGTGGAGAAGAATCCAGAGGATTTGGGCAAAGAAGGATGGGAGATAGCACGGAGGTGTGATCTGTGGGCTGTCAGTGGATTGATCTCTTTGCTCCTCCTGAAGAAGGAGCATGGGCACAACTGGATCAACACTGACAGCACAGTGCCTGTTATACTGAACATGACTGCAGAGCTATGAGACAATGGGCATGAGGACACAACAACTCCAAACCAGTTGTCCCACCAACGAGCAGCCCAACAGTCAGTCCCTTCCAAGACCCAGAGCCATCACACTAACCTCTCACTTCCAGCTCCACAGCTCCCACAAGTCAGGTTCATCTCAACCAGGGGAGAACTAATGTTACTGCCACAGCCACCTTCAAGTCATCCCCAACCATCCTGGACC